TGCATAGGGGTTTCTTACTAACACTTACTAACAACTAATCACTACATATAAGGGAGGGAGTATGTTATATTCAGTTTCAGTTTTTACTTTGTGTTATTTCACCCCCAGGGGGCGCGTCTGTCTTTTATGTATATATTCGATGTGTTGCGTACAATAAAGGTCTTTTTGTACGGTGGTGCTGCCGGTGCTTCTTACGTCTTTCACAGACACCACAACGGCGACCTTTCATTCGAACGGTAATCAGGAATTTCGTGCCAGCTACGCGAGCGAGCGCCTGCGCGTCGGGGGTTGTTGTATTCGGGATAGCATGGGATGCGTCCTTCGTTGACCGTGTTCCGTGACGATCACCAGACGACAGCAGTGGATAAAAAAGGAGTGGCCGGAAATCTCCGCTAAGTTTTCTCCCGTGGAGACCTTTAACTCCTGGCAAGACGTGAAGACGGACATAGTGGTAAACTGCTCTGCAAGGCAGGCTTCGAGACGGTGGAACTTGCGGGAACCGGTCAAGAAGACGATGACCCGAGTGCATAGACCACGCGTTTCGTGAGTTGTCGTCCCGTTTACTGGCAGCATGACGATAGTTATAGCACGAGAACAATTGACGACACAGAGACAAGAAGGACACGAAAGACGTCGTTTTGTTCTCGCGCTATAACTATCGTCATGCCATACCAACTAGCCCAAGCTGCCACACTTCCAAGTTACTGGCAGCAGTTCCACACGAAGTGTCTGCCGACAATTTCGTGGAAGCGGACTGCAATGTCCAGACCGTTGCGAGCCTCACTGATGAGAACATAGTAGGTGCGATAGCAGGGACTCGGGATGCCTAGGCTGACAGCTCATGTGGCGAGGAGGATCGTCTGGACGAGGCGCTGGCTACATGCGCGTACTCTGCCACTGAAGTGGCGGCAGCGTTCGTCGTCATTCGCCGCTGTATCGGCCACACGAAGGCAACTGAGCTGTCGCGCCTGGACAGCCTTGATAAGATCGAGACTAGCGTCTTCAACATTTCAAATTCGAAGCAGGCAAAGGTAAGAGATTTTTTTTCACACAAATCATTCTATTTCGGTGTGTGTGCGGAATTAGTTGTTATTCTTGAATGCACCTGTTGTAGGTGATGATTCGCTACAGGTAAGCTCTCGGGGCCTGTATTTTCTAATGTTTCATATATCGAATTAATTCGCGATTCCCTTAGAGTTTAATATATCCGTGTTCGAGTGTGATCATATGGTGGTAATAAGTGTGAATGCTGAAAACAGCAAAAACCCTTTTTACACTTTTTTAGAAAAAAAAAAATCGTTCCTGTTTCTGAATGATGTACTTTGAGAACTAACACAACAAAGCCTGCAAATGATGCTATGGTACATCAGCAACTAAAAGTGGAAACGCATGCCGCGTTTTTTAGCAAGCAAAAAAAAAATGCTACAGACGGTTGGCACTGGCCGGCGTTGCCGTAGAACGTGTCTTGCAAGCAAGCCGAGAAGAGACACAGTCCAAAGCGCTTGAAGTTCGATATGTGGGGTTCAATGTCCCAAAACCACCATATTACTATGAGAGACGCCGTAGAGGAGGGCTCCGGAAATTTCGACCGCCTGGGGTTCATTAACGTGCACCCAAATCTGAGTACACGGGCCTACAACATTTCCACCTCAAAGCGCTTGAGTTTATCTTACACAGTGTGACCGTGGGAGCATCTACTACCTAACGCACGTCATTCGTAGTAACCATGCTAACGACGCCGTCAAAAGAGTGGTAGCGAGGTATTGTGCGAAGGCCGCCACGAGACGAAATTTCCAGAATGTATTTACGAGATGCACGCTGTGATTGAAAGCAGTCTTGGACCTCAGCCGGCGAGTGAAATGCGAAAAAGAATGTTTCTTGTCGTCGTCTGCTCGAGTTTTGAACATTGAGGACACATAACTTCCCTTTCGGTGCATCAATTTTCATGATTCTTCTTGCAGTGATCATCGCTACTAGCGTTCCAGTGCTCAATAAAGCTGCCCGAAAAGTGTTGCAGGGCCCTTTTAAGTCACATGCACACTTGGTTTGAGAGAGAGTTACAAGCGGCAAAATTGAAGGAAATTCACTCGCTTCGCTGCACGGACAGAAAACCGCACCGCGAAGTTGACACGTAAAAATTGGTCCTGTAGCATTCACACTTGAGAAGTGACGGCAAAACGAAAACACCAGAGTGGCCTGAAGAACCACATCCATGTGCATTGAAAATGTTCACTTTCATTCTGCACCTCCCTACTTTGAGAATTTATTCTATTTTGCCTGTACCCTGAACACTAAAATTCGTACCAAGTTCTAGTTGTGCATGCAAACCACTGAAAAAAACAAACAAATAAACAACTACACCCTTTCAAGCGTTGTTTCGTGAAATACACCAGCAGAAATGACACGAGCAGATGCACCAGCAGCAGTGGTGACAGACTCAGCTCGTGCAAAAACGAGACACATTGGGGCATGCTGACTCGCTGCTGCTGCACCTTCTACTTTTGGTGTTCTCAGAAACCATAATCCAAACCAGGCTCTCGATGAACGCGTCCTTGTCAAGGCCGCGAGTTTTTTCATGAGTAGTTTGCAATTGTGCCAATGCGAGCCACCCGTGACACCTTTGTGCCATGTTGAATTTGCAGGCTTGCTGTTTACATCACGTAGTTCGAGCTAGAGCAGGCAAGGCCACGCAGCGGAAAGGCAATCTGCTATTACAATCAAGCCCGCTTATAATGAACCTGAACGTGACGCGGCATCCGATCGCTGTATCCTGAAGTTCGTAGTAAATGAAACACAGCTTTGAAAACAGTTGCGAGTGAAAACGCAAACTGTTCTGCCTCAAAAAGTCAGTGATGCACGTGTTTCGAAGAGCAGAAACGATAAGGACGTTCTCGAGTTCATTTAAAACAGCTGGGTGCTCGTTCGCCGATGCTCGTGGCATAATCTGCATGAGGCACCGGCTCCAAAGTTTCGTCGTTCTCGCAATCCGATTCCTCAAAATCACTCTCGCCACGTACTTCATTCACAATGCTTCAACCCGTGCACGGTTCCACAGTGTTGGCACCATCATCGGCCGTAATTAAACCATCACAACAGATGTCCCACCCGCTCTTCCAGGTCGGAGTCAACGACCCACTGCCACAAATCGCCGCCACAGTTCGGAAGCTTCAGACTCGGCATCGGGCCCGACGTCGACGACGTCGGCCTTGCGAAAACAGTTTCGCAGGCATGTAGCCGTCACCGCCGCCCACGAAATATTCACCATCTCCATAGCTGAATACCGGGACGGCCGAAGTGGCAAGTTGGCTGCCAGGTGGTCAACAGATATGAGCAAGCGCTCCGCAACGCGGCACCTAACGCGCGGATTACGCTCAAGCCAAGCGGTCACACTTTCCACGTATTGTTGAGTGGCAGGAAAAAGCATGCAAGTTCTCCCGTTGGCCATCATGACCATACACACACACCAAGAGTGAGCAAGACCCGCACACACGACACACATGCCAGAACGCGTGCAACAGCTCTGGGCCCGTTTCCAGTCAGAAAACGAAACTGATTCGAGCCAGCGTGGCGGGCGTCGCGGAGCGGTGGAGACGGGCGAAGGGGTTGTGATCAAGAGAGGAGAGCAGGCTTGCGAGAGAAGGGCAACCAGTTGCGATAAAGAGAGTGGAGGAAGCGGCGGGAGGGCGACGTTGAAAACCAAAACACACGGGAAGGAGGCAGGTTGGGTAGCTTGCTTGAAAGGTCTGTGAAACTCGCACGTTGAAAAACTTGGAAAGAGCGCCTGCGCGCGCAGAAGCCAAAGCATGGCCGCCTGGATCAGTGCACGCGGCGGTGTTCGAAGAATCGGCGGCCGTGGTCAAAAAATCGTTTTGTTGCACTGGCTGGTGTGCGCGGCCTCAAGAACTTAGATATTTCGCGATTCGTGCCACGCACATTAACAGCCGTTTTCGCCCTTCCGCACGCGTGCAGAAGGCATGCTGAGCCGAGTGCGAAGTGAGCGAGAACGTGTCCTAACCACGAAACGAATCGCAAATTATCAGAGTCGGTGGGGTAGCGTACATGCGTGCACTAGACGCAGACTATCGCATAAAGTCGGTGGCCGACGATGTTGGCCAATGGTCTGGTCACTCCAGGCCGGCGACGCCAACGACAGTACCAGCGATCAAAAACAGCGTAGATGGCCGACCAGTCTTCGAAATATCGGTGGCAGTGTGAAAACACGGGCCTCGTCTGGCGATGCGGGGTGCTCAGAGTAGCGGGGGGACAAAGGACGGAGGGGTGCATAACAAAAAGCAGTCGGGGCATGGAGGAAGGAAACAGCTTTCCATGGGTTGGGGAGAGCGGCTACTAGAGGGTCGCGGAGGCAGGGTCGGCGTTTAACAATAAGAATGTATGGGCACCTCGTCGATGCCTGATCGTGCCTGATCGGTGGTCAAAATCGGTTTCCCGGGAAGTCGGCAGACCGCGGACTCCGTTCGCTGTAACCGATCAGCGGCGCTAGGAGATGTTCGTTGTAAGTGCAATTTTGTGCCATTGAACCAATGTATATTTTCACGGTCAGGCAGATATTGTTCATTTTAAGTGAAAGTTCATTTTAAGTGAGGCCGTTATATGTGGGCTCAACTGTATGTGGCTGAAAAATTTGTCTCAGACAGATTATTTTGTGCCGTTCTCATGGCATGGTTTTTTGGCCACTTCGGTAATAAAGCGAGAGAAATTCCAGCAAGTTTTGCTACGTTCACTCCTTTCATGGTCAAGTGTAAACAGGCAAGCCGCATTGTGCTGCTCACGTGCAGCGGTCAATTGCGCGTACGTATGATGCGCTGTGGCTGGGCATACTGTTACACTAAATCACAGTGCATTCTATATAACATACGGCGTCAAAAATTACCGTAATTGGATCATTGAGATTCTACTGTACTGCATTTACTTTTAATGCAGTCTTGTCAATAATTCAGCCAATAATAAAACACCACAGAAGAAGGCAACAGCGAGCTTACCTGTGATCCAGGAAACATGAGAGGAATAGGTGCGCGACAGCCAGTTTGGGGAGACTGCATTGTGCAAGCCCAATGCGTAGAGGCCAATCTGGAAGGCGCACATATGCAGTGCTCGGTGGGGGCCCCTGTGGTTCTGGCTGGCCGAGGGCTGGGTGAACAAAACCGCCGTGCTCGAGTTGCCACCGGCCTTGGTCAGCACAGTCTTGGCTAGCTCAAACATGAAGTGGGCCGAGGCCTCGCTCGGCTGGTTGGGCAGGCTTGGGCATGCACCTCGCTTGCCCTTCAGGCGGCTCGGAGGTGGGGGCTTCTGAGGGGCTGCAGCAACAGCAGCCGGAGCCCGAGACCCACCACCAGCCCCAGAAAGGGCCCCACCTCCGGATGCCAAGAAGCGTGAAGGTGCTGCCCCAACTGATGCATGCAAGTTTGGTGGCGGGCTGTCCGATGGAAGCACACACAAGCTGCACATACAGAAATGGAGCAGAAAGGGCCACTTATAATTCAATTATGACTCGCAGTGATCAGTATCTTATGAGCAGATTACCTTAGTTCACAACAACCGCTATCCACAGTGTAACCTCAATATAATAAACTTTAAGGAAATAAAATTTTTAATAGAACAGAGCATGCTTATCCATGACTTCAAAATACCAAAGTTCTACTGCTACCGCAAGTGAATACAAAGGCAATAAATTGAAACTTCTGCTCATGCATGATCACATGGTTGCCCAGCTACATGACCAAGCCATATAGTTTTTGTGTATAAATTTTTCAAATTGAATGTCGCACAGCAGAAAGCCAAGGTTCATTGGTGCAGGGTGGAAAAGCCACTGCATTCTAAAACTGTATCCGCCAACTTCCGACTAACAGACAGAGAATAGAACTTTTGGACTTCAAGCCAAAGGTCAAGCTGAAGCTGTAGTGTGCTCAGGAAGCAGGCAAAGGCAAGCGGTTGCAAAGACACCTTTAAAGCCACAAGCTGACATTGCGGGCTGTCAGCCGGGGGCCCTTATAGAGAGTCAGGCGTTAGCGACACCGCCTTGTTTGTCACGTTGTTGAGTGCTGTGTAATATTGTGTAAGGTTGCTTAGCGTGTGAATCACACTTGACGTTATAATAATTTGGCTGACAATATCGTGGATTAAAAGCAGTTAAATAAATGTGTGTATTGTTTGGTTTGTTCAGATAGCATCTGCTGCGTGCGCTTACTCCAAGAGCGTGGCACTCGCTCCCCATATCAAAACCCCACAACACGGAGTAAATGAGGTCCGGAGAACCACAACTGACCCCTGCCGGACGATTGAAACGGGCCTCGCCAGCGATGCTGTGCTCATGGATAGTCAAGACTCGGGCCTGCTATCCCGAGGCGCTAGTTAAACACGCGTTCAAAAAGTGCGCCCTCTCGAATGGGCTTGATGGCACTGAGAATGATATGCCATGAAAGAACATTTCGGTCAAGGGAGCTTCGGAAGAGCGTGTGTGTCCGATGAAGATGTTGAATGAACTGTGTCCATAAATTCATTTTTTTCTTTCATTCGCATCATATTCGGGTGAAAACTGTTTTCCCTGCGTTTGCTATCCCTAAATTACACCCTGGATTATATGCGGGCTTTTACGGCATATGCACAAACATGACGGTTGCATCACGATGCCGCTCTTAAAAGAAAAGTCATCGCGTGTGCCGAAACGGACAGAAATCAGGCTGCATCGCGGTCGTTCGGAGTTCCCGAAACGTGCATGCGGGACTGGCGGAAACAAAAGCAGAAGATTGTCGACAGCAAAGATTCACGCAAAGGCTTCATTGGACCTCAGCAGGGTCGGTTTCCGCAAATTGAAAATGTGCACGACTTTCGCATGCACATTTGTGAGCGTGTATATACACACATTTGAAATAAAAAACTGCCAGGCCTCCGTGGAAGGCGCAGCACAGTCAAAGCGAAAGCTAGAAGAGCAACCTTTCAGAGCCTTTTCTCAACACTCATTGGGTAACTGCTGCAAGCACTTTTGCTTGATACCCACAAGCACTTTGCTCGATACCCGACATTAACAATAAAAATTTTTGGGTAGTAGGCTGGTATTCTCTATGCTATTTTTCCTCATTCTTCTGAGAAGCGTGGTTTAAATGGGGGCTTTAACGTCCCAAAATCACCATATGATTATGAGAGACGCTCTAGTAGAGGGCTCCACAAATTTCGACCACCTGGGGTTCTTTAATGTGCACCCAAATCCGAGTACACGGGCCTACAGCATTTTCGCCTCCATCGAAAAAGCAGCCGCCTCAGCCGGGATTTGATCCCGTGACCTGCGGGTCAGCAGCCGAGTACCTTAGCCAATTGACCAACGGGGCGGGGCTCTGAGAAGCGTGGTATCCACTGAACACTTGCAAGGAATTTTGTGCCAATCATTCATGTGGTGGCTAACGACGATGAGGACTTACTGTGATTACTCGAATCTAACGCTCACCTTTTTTCCGGTTAAGCAGATTCATAAATTGCATGCGCATTAGAATTGAGTGCGAAAAAAAAAAATGAATACAGTCACTCTATTGCCATCGGCATTTCCAAAATGGCCGCCCCCTACGTGCGTCGGCATGGCGCGTCGGCCATTTCTGCCTGTGTTTCCCATGTGCGGCACTTCGTACGTGTGTTGAGGAGTTCGTCATCTTGTAGTGAATTAGCATCGACGGCATGGAAGGGCCAACTCCAAAAACTTGACGGTTGCACCATGATGCCGCTCTTAAAAGAAAAGTCATCGCGTGTGTCGAAACGGACAGAAATCAGGCTGCATCGCGGTCGTTCGGAGTTCCCGAAACGTGCATGCGGGACTGGCGGAAACAAAAGCAGAAGATTGTCGACAGCAAAGATTCACGCAAAGGCTTCATTGGACCACAGCAGGGTCGGTTTCCGCAAATTGAAAAGCTTCTCGGCGAGTATGTGATTGAGCAGTGAGCGGCACAGCGGCTCGTGACGACACAACTGCTTCAAGTGCAGGCTATGCAGTAGGCCTTAGAAAAAGGGCTAATGCGGAGCCAGTTTAAAGTGAGCAGGTGCTGGCTAACTAACTTTATGAAGAGGAAAAGCTTTTCCCTCCGAAGGCGAACGGGCGTATGCGAAAAGTTTCCGGAGGAATATGATGAAAAGCTTCACAGTTTTCAGAGGTTCGTCCTAAACTTGCAGCACAACAACGGATAGCTGCTTGGGTAAACCGGGAATGGTGGTCAAACGCCTCTTTACTTCGACATGCCTGGCACCACAATCGTCGAGAAGAAGGGGGCGAAGCAAGTTCGCGTGCCGACATCAGGCCACAGTAAAACTAGAGTGACGGTAATGCTCCGTTACACGTCAGATAAGCACAAACTTCCCCCGTACCCCATATTTAAACGGAAGACGCTTCCGAAAGGAGTCGTTTTCCCGAGTGGTGTGATCGTGCGGGCCAACAAGAAAAATGGGTGCGCGTTGCAATCGATGTCTTACTTTTTTTTTCCGTGGTGGAAACCGGGTGCGCGTTACAATTGAGGGTGCCGTAGAATCGAGTAAATACGGTACGCCTCAAGTGAGTATGCACTACAGTTAATAGAGGATCAAAAAAAATTTTTTTAATGGGTTGAAGCATTGCACGACCCGCTCGTTACGCTATTTGCATTGTGCGACGACTGGTTGTTTTTTCGCCATTCTAAAACACTTTATAAGCCGTAATAACGCAATTGGTTACCCGTTATCAAGCCTGCCTAAGGCAAGTTTGCCAACAAGTCTCAAGTACCAGTGTGGCTCAGTGGTAGAATACTGGGCTGGCATGCAGTGGGCCCGGGTTCGAGCCCCACTTTGTCATTGGTACTAGGTTTTTTTCTCATTTCGTGCGATGTGGTTACGGACACCAACGGCGGAACACTATGGCACCGCGCGTGACCCGAGTTTTGCTCTCATAACAGCTTTCACTGTAAAATGTTCGGGAGGAAGAATTACAACAGCTTTATTTGAGAATGGGTAGCACTATACGACTTGCACAGAAAAGAAGCATATGCGAAAAATACAACCACACACATAACGCAACAAATTTTCTAACATGCTTAGAAGCTCGAAGTTAAGATTGGAACGATGGATGTAATCCCGATGGTTCAGATGATCACGACGACATGTTGAACTGGACTGCTTGCTCACTTCCTGGCAAACTTCAGTTTATTTACAGACTGACACTTATTTACAAACAAAGACCGTGGTGGCCACTAGACCGACCGCACAGTAAGCACTAAGCTGTAGTAATATGAACGTCGGCGTTACTTGCCGAGCCCTTGGTATACTCCACACATCGACACTAACTTGTCGATGGAGTATCAACCTTGGAGCAGAGTCTGCACTAAGCACGATCTCTGTCCCCCTCAACGTAGCATCAACCTTGGACTAGAGTCTACACTAAGTACGACCTCTGTCCCCACTTCCCGATCTCGTTCCCGAGCTCCCCTTCTCTCCATTTCTCTTCATTAAATACCTCTTGTCTCATCTGAGACAGCCTCGTGGGACGAACCCCTACTCGATGCTCCACCAATAGAGCAAACAACTGCCCTTTCCTCAGAGATGGGTCTCCACCTCTGCGTTCCCACACTTTGCTATCCTCGGAGCATTGGCTAAGAACTCCATCACTTCGTCGACGTACAGCTTAAAAGATACCTTCGTGTGACAAACCTGTCTAGACGGCTGGTCAGCTGTCTGGCATTGGTAGACACGATTCTGCCGTATATCCACACGTATTGTTACAGCATGGCGCCACATTATCTTGTTGGGAGCCGTGTCGCGACAGCGACCACTTATTTCTCAGTCGGGCTCACCGAGAGAGCGCTACCACCGTGCAGGTGACTCCCCAGCACAAGGTGCGATGAACAAAGGCTCACGAAGTTTGACGACAAAGACGCATTCTGAGAAAAACGGCTTAGTTCGCGTCTGGGTAGCCTCTTTTCATTAACTTCCCTTTTCGTAGGGCGCCATCTACAGACTAGCCATTCTTCGCGTGACCCAAACATAACTCCTCCTTGTATAGCAAAGTGTGGGAACCCACCCACCTCTGAGGAAAAGGCAGTGGTTTGCTTTATTGGCTGAACAATGAGTAGGGGTTCGTCACACGAGGCTGTCTCAGATGAGACGGGAGCTATTTAAGGGGGGACGCGGGTCTTAGAAAAGTAAAAAATGGCCAAAAAATTGATTTTGAGAAAAACGCATTTTTCGAATCTTTGAACCTATAAACACCTCTCCTCAAATTATTAACGCTAAATTCGATAAAAAAAAAGGTTAAAATCTATTTTCAAACCATCACGGGAATCGCAAAACAACCCGCAAAACAAAAAATTTGTTCAAACTTCCCGCACGCGCCGCCAGCGAAGCAGCCGGCGGATCGGGGCCATCTTGGGCTTGTTTTGAAGCTGGTTCCTTTGTGCGCGTTTTGCGGGCTCTCAAAATGGCGTAGCTCCAACACAACGACTGCCCTCCCCCGTTTTGCGGAGCCGTCTGCCGAACCGCTGATTGGCTAGAGCGCGCGCGCGCCGACGAGCCCTCCCGTCTCGCGCTTACCATTGGCTGGCGCGGCGGCGCGGCCACGCTTGCTCGCTCTTTTTTGTTTTTGTTTGGTTTTGCTCCGTCGGCGCCTGCTCTCGTGCGTGTTATCTCGTCTGCTACAAGCTCGTGCACCGATGTCGCCGACGTATACGTCTTTCTGCATTTCGCAGGCATGGCTTGGGAAGCTCGCCTGAAGAAGAACACTCGTCAAGCTTTCGGCAGGAAACGAAAGCGAGCGTGGAATGCGCGGCAGAAGGGAGCGGCCTGCGCGCCGCCGAGAACGCCGGAGATGGCCGAGGCAGCGCATTGATGAAGGATGTCTGGGACAAAAATGTGTGTTTTACTTGAAATAGTGTTTTATGTATAAAAGGGCGATGTTTTTATATATAACATGTGTCTTCCTTTGGTTTTCAGTGCACTAGAACAGCCACAAAGTTGTAGACTGGGTTCCTTATACCGATTCAACGGCCAGTACACAGTTTTTAAATGAGCTGTGGCAAATATTTTGGGAAGGTGCATTGACACATTTGGTACAGCCATACTCACATAATGTAGAGCTATACAACGGTGCCATTTTTATTGCTCTAGCTCCACCTTAGCAAAAGTTACAGTTATTAGAAACTTTAAATGCGTTTTTCTCAGTTCGATGTTTTTGTGCACCACACTAAACCTTAGGGGTTTTTCTTATATGTTACTGTTGATTGAGAATGACAAACTTGGTATCATTTTATTTGTAATAACATTACCTATGGGGTGATGCTATTTTGATTACTCTAGAAGCATACTGTTAATTACAATTATGGATAGTAATGAGCGAAAATTGAACAGAATATCCATTGTAAGTGCTGGTCTGTTTTCTTATCTATGTAATGCCTAAAAATTAATAAAAATAGCATCACCCCATACAGAAAGCCCTCAGCATTGGGGCTATGCATTTATTTTTTGGATCTGGCTTGATTAAGTTGCCAAAAAGCCCCCAATGAAGTGCATAATTAATTAAATTACAGATGTTAATATCTTTTTATCCACTGAAGCTATTTCAGAAACAATTACATATTTGAAATCAGCATGAAAAACTGTCCAAGATGGTGATGTTTGGTCAAGATTGAGCCAAAAACAAAAAAAAATTTAAAGACCCATGTCTCCCCCCTTAATGAAGAGAAATGGATAGAAGGGGAGCTTGGTGCTCGGGAACGAGATCGGGAAGTGGGGACAGAGGTCGTGCTTAGCGCGACTCTGGTCCAAGGTTGATACCCCATCGAAAAGTTGGTGTCGGTGAGTGGAGTATACGAAGGGCTCGGCAAATAACGCCGACATTCAATAGAGAGTTTTAGTACTGCGTACGCTGCATACGTGGCGGCGTTGCGTACGTAAGGACGCCACGTCCGCAATGCGCACGTATTGCGTTACGTACGCAGCCGCTACGTACGCACGCATGAGATGCGTGCGTGCGTACGTATGAGGTGATTGCGCCGCTCTCGAACAAGTTCGCGACAGCGCGGGACTTCGTTTTGCAAAATGGCGGCATCGAAGGCAAGCACCGACCGGCTCTGTGGCTTAAAATATGGCCATATCTGGCTATAACACTTGGATTGGCTCACATTGGCTGTCAACAACACGTGCTTCTATTTTGATCTACCAGATGGCGCAACACGCTTCACGCTCGCTACGTACGCGGGTACTACGGCGTACTAAAAGCCCATAAGTGGCAAACGACGCCACATAACGCAAGGCGCTTGCGTGATGCATACGTAGCACCATTCCGCAGTACTAAATCTCTCTAGTATTAATACAGCCCAGTGCTTACTATGCGGTTGGTTTAGTGGCCACCCCTGTTTTTGTTTGTAAGTAAGTGTCAGTGTGTAAATAAACTGAAGTTTGCCAGGAAGTGAGCAAGCAGTCCAGTTCTTCAACGTGTCATTGTGATCATCTGAACCATCGGGATTACATCCATCGTCCCAATCATAACTGGCGGAGTTGACAGGATTCTGCCGTACCGTAAAAACCCGCGTATAGCCCGGGGTGTTTTTTCTAAAATTTAGGGTGCGAAATTTCAGCCCCGTATTATATGCGGATCCCAAAAAAAGTTTCGGCCCGAATTCAGTTTTCATTTCCGCATTGGTTGGTGCTATCATCATTATCAGGTGTCTGCGCACTTCTACGTTAGGTAGCGTGGTAGCGTGAGCGGCGTTAGTCCTAGAGACCTACAGGTACAGGCGTGCATCAGGCGAGCAACAGTGGCCATTGCAATCACTTGGTGCACATCACGACGGCCACGATTTTACTTCCGTGATTTTGAGCCATGTCGGGACCGCGCAGGCAGTACTCGGCTGCCTTTAAGAGGAAAGTTATTTCTGCTGCCGAAACCATCGGCAACTGTGCCGCGGAGCGGCAGTTCGGCGTGAATGAGCGGAGCATTCGCGGTTGGCGGAAGCAGAAGGAAGCCCTTTTTGCATGCTGCGGCAAGAGAAAAAGTTTCCGGGGACCGAAAAATGGAGCATTTCCAGACGTGGAACGAGAACTGACGGACTTTGTTCGGGAGCAACGAGCTGCACAACTCGCTGTGCACATCGAGCTGCTGCAGGCAAATAAATGCATTTTTTCTGTTTTCCTCGAACAATATTCGCGTGAAAATGTTTTTTCTCGCGTTTGCTATCCCCGAGTTACACCTCGAACTATACGCGGGTCCGAACTATACACGGGTTTTTACGGTACATCCACACGTATTGTTACAGCATGGCGCCACATTATCTTGTCGGGAGCAGTGTCGCAACAGCGACCACTTATTTCTCAGTCTGGCTCACCGTGAGAGCACTACCGCCGTGCGGGTGACTCCCCAGCACAAGGTGCGGTGAACAAAGGCTCACAGGGTTTGACAACAAAGACACGTTTCAAGGAGAATGGCTTAGTCCGCATCTGGACAGCCTCTTTTCATCAGCTTCCCTTTTCGTCGGGCGCCGTCTACCGACTGGCCATTCTTCGCGTGCCCTAAACCTAACTCCCGGGTATTGACAAGAATGCACACACGCTAAATAATGGTTTACTCACCGAGGAAAATCAAGTCGTCGCGAGCAAACTGATTAGAACAAACTACCGCGTCCGTCACTTTCCTTCCAATGCGCAAGTTTCTTACTTGTGCCATTCTCCGTCGCTTGTCTGCATCCTTTGAGAAGTGAGAACGACACATTGCTATCTATCCACTGCAACTGCAGCAAACTTCGATTGTCTTTGGACATCGCTTTCTTATTTTTCAGGCTTGTGCGTGCGGCACGGTGAAACAAACAAACTATGCAGCTGATTCTCAACATGCGCAACGTGGTAACACATCTTGCTTCAAGGTTGACCCTGTTAGCGTCGTTCCCAGGCGCAGCCACTAGGTAGGGAGCGCTTAGTTGGAGTCGCAAATAGACCGAAACGCTGATGTCCGGACGGATTTTATTCATGAAGACCGAGTGAGGGTATGTCCCCATCTTTAGAAGTTTTAATCTAACCACCCGTGGCCTGTTTATAGTGCCTAAGTGATTTTGCTACATTTAGGATTGCCAGGCGTCACCTTGGAGGGCAGTAAAAAAAAGCGAATTCACCAGTGCAGATGATGGTGTCGATGGCCGACGTTGCCGGTGCCGCAAAAGTGGGCCCGTGCAGTTATGAAAATGGCGATTGATTTGGTTGATTGATTGATATGGGGAGTTTAACGTCCCAAAACCACCATACGATTATGAGAGACGCCGTAGCGGAGGGCTCTTAAAATTTCGACCACCTCGGGTTTTTTAACGTGCACCCAAGTCTGAGCACTTGGGCCTACCACATTTCCGCCTACATCAAGAATGCAGGATCCCGCGACCTGTGGGTCAGGAGCCGAGTACCTTAGCCACTAGACCACCGCGGCGGGGCGCAGTTATGAAGTTGGTAATGACGACGCTAAACATTTTACCGTGCTACAGAGCTTGTGTTGGTGCTCATTTTGCTTATCATTAAAGCAAAATGCAATTTGCTTATTAAAGAAGCTTAAATGCTTGAATAATGAGGGTGACTTGATAAACTTGACAGTGTGTTAGGAGCAAGACAAGTCTACAGACTGTTTTCACATGAAATGGAGTGTGGCAGCTTGCAAAAGTAGTTGTCACCTTTTTATTAAGCATACTGTGAGTGAATCGTCATGTTAACGTTCATTACCACTTTTGGAAGCCCTTTAGAGAGCTGTAATGCATTATTATAAGCCTTAAATACGCTTATTTCATATTTTGAACTATCGATATATCGAACTATTTCACAATCCCCTTTGAGTTCAATATATCCAGGATCAGCTTTACAATGTCTTTACTACACACGTTCAAATCGTAGTGAAAATGAAAAGAACAAGCATTGCCACCTGTCCGTGTGTCGACCCTTGACCCCAGTGGCCCGGTCCCCAGAGGAGCTGGACACAACAGAGTCGCTACTCTCGCCACTGCTGCCACTGTCACTGCCAGGTCCACACGGGCGACCCCAGCCACCACGCCGCACCACTGTAGGAGAGTTGTCACTTGATGTTGTTTCAGGAGCACTGCTGTCAATGCTGGCCATGCCTGCAAATGACAGTGTGTGCATATGTGGGCAAAACTGCACTAAGCTTGTGCAAATAAATATTCAAATGAATATTACAGTATTTGGATTTGCTTCAATTCAAACATAAGTTATTGAAAATTTTGTCAGAATGAACGAATAAGTATTCATTTATTCTGACGAAAATAAATTAATATATGTAATAACCCCTTGTAAGGTAGTTTCACTGCAGTAAAAGAATGTTGAACCGTGAAAACACCTATCCAAATGAAATCTGCACAGCCACGAAGCCCCACTTGGAGATTAAATGAACACATTACCCTCACATCGATTCATCACTTTTTAAGTTTAAAAGCTTGTTATACCAGCTTGTTATACCAGTTTTTTCAGTGCTTTTGTTTGTACAATTCGAACACCTTTCAACATCCTGATCCTGTACCACTCCCCTCAACAATGCCCTCTGGGCCATGAGGGTACCTGAAATAAATAAATAAATAAATATATGCTCCAAGTGTAGTGATCTTAAATGTGATATATTTCACAGGTTGCCCCTTGTATTCTAAGTAAGTCAAATCCTCCTACTATTCGTAGTTGTTTGCACTTTCTTTGAATTGAAAAGAATTGCATTTGCACAGGCCTGGTTTCATGTTTTAAAAAGTATTGTGCAGGTTAGTTGGGTCATGACAAATATGTACATTTTTCTCTATAATATAAGTACTGTCAAATATTGCTACAGCAAAACTCAGATCAATGTTTTTTTTTTTTTTTTCAGATTAACAACTTTTTTTGAAAATCCCCCCCATAATTGTTCCTTGATTTATGTAAAAAAATATTTCACTACTACGAATTTCAAAATACTAAAGGTTTAGGATAACTTATCCAATTTTATTGCCCTTATATCTCCACAACATAATGAATAGCAATTTTAAAGTTACTCGTGAATGTGCAAACAATACCCAGCTCTATGCAAGCCAAGTTACTCGTGAATGTGCAAACAATACTCAGCTCTATGCAAGCCTCTATCATCATCATCATCATCATCAAAATGTGCACATATTTCTTTATGCACCAGCCTTATACAAATGTGCAATAGCCTGGTTGCCATCGCCCTCACCTATACAGTCGATTCCAAATATATCAAACTTAGATATATTGAATTTCAAACTTAGATATATTGAATTATTGGCTATACCAAACAGCTGAGTAATCACCTTGAATTTCCCACGAAAAAGTACGGAACTGGTGTTCATGTATATTGAACTCCTGCACAGTGGAACATTTGCTGTATCGAACGCAGCCTCGGGCTGAAGCCCAGAAAATGCATTTTTCCTAGCAAATATTGATCATTTTCCGACCATGTTCTAACAGGTTCCCGATTCCTCTTCGCGCGCAGGTGACGAAAAGGTGGTATTATTCTGTCTCATTGATCTCGTTCATTACACGACGCTTGCGAGTGCACCGATATGTCTGATGCGTGGTCTGCAGGATTTAATGCATGGGCATAGTGTTTTTTAAAAAGACAGATTGCCGAGGACACAATGCGAAGTGACTCGGTGAACTCTTTGAAATGTTCACGTTTTCATCCTTGTTAGCACACAATGACATGAAGGCCTGAAAAGCATGGTCTTCGAGACGTGCAACTTTGTGACGTATTTTGGTCTTTTTGGTTTTAGAATGCATGTCTCGAAGGCTGTGCTTTTTCTAGCTTGTCACGACATAGCAGCCGACAGCAGCAGCTGCCAGCTACAAATAAAAATTGCCAACATGTTAGCTGTGGGAAGTTGCCCCTTTATTACAGTAGAATTTTGATAATACGATTACAGTTGACGCCAATTTCACAATAGGAATTTTAAGGTTGCTGCGGATAAAGTACATAAAAAATAAGCCGTCATTCGGTGTTAAATGAACGGTTGCCCCAGCTACCGCGGATGATACAAACGCGGGATTGACCACCCCATGCAAGCGGCGCAACGCGGTTTGTTTGTGGGAGGAAGGCCCATTCACACTTGGCCTCGAAGAGGGCGAATGTGGTGAAACTCACTGGAATTTCGCTCGCTTCGACGCCGGTAAAGTGGACGAAACACCTTGTGGTGAGGCCAACGCAGAAAAAAAACGGTCAGAGACCAATTTTGACGCCACGCGATAGCGGATCATCTTTCTGCTATGGCTTTGGCTACACTGGCTGTACTACCACTCAAACCACATGATGTAAACAACCAGCTGTACGTACATTCAGCATGGCGGCTAAGGCGTCGGCGGTGTGGCTCACGTCGGCGTAATCGTGAACTATCCGCTTAGCATGACAATGCTCACGGCATTGAAAAACCTGGTTCGAATTATATCGTTGCGAACACCGGAAGTAGAAGAAAGTGATGCAGCACTGAGTCAGCATGCACGAACATGTCTAGTTTTGCACTGCCGGCTGAATCCGCCGCCGCCGCTGCAGGTGCGTATGCTCGTATCATTTCTTCTGACATATCTCCCGAAACATTGTTCGTAAAGATGTAAACCGTTTCTTTTCAGTGCTTTGCATGTATAACTAGAACTCTTTATGGCTTTTAACGCCCAGGAATGAATTCTCAAGCGGCGACGGCAGACGTTGGCATGTATACGAGAGGCAGAACGAATGTGAATATTTCGGATGGGTGCGGATGTGGTTTTGTGGCCGTTCTGGCGTTTTTTTAAGTTCTCCAGAGTGAATTACCTAGGACTGATCTTTTTCGTGTCGACTTCGCGACGCGTTTTTCTGGCCGCTTAAGCAGCGAAGGGAGTGAATTCCCAATAAGCTTTGCCGCTTTTGCTCCCTTTGATGCTAAGTGTGAACGTACCTTATAACCTTATAGAGCCAGCAGCATGAGTAAGGAAACCGTGGCACTTTATTGAGAGGCAGTGAAAGTAGGAAAACTCAAAAGAACATCATGGACCTTTTTCAGCTAGTAGTTGACCCTAATAAAGCTCTTGTTCATTTTCATGACCGGCTTTAACTTGTTTTCAGTTCACACAAGTTCGGGATGATACAAATATTTTGCGTGCTCCTTTGAATTAGTATCATCGAGATTCTACTATATCACCGATTATTGTTTGTAGGCAGTGTCGCAACGTTGTCTTTTGCGGCTTGTGGACATGTATTCTCTTATCATTCTTGATAAATCCTCATTCGGGAGTTGAATTGAACGTTGGCCCGCTTGCAGCGATACAAATTGAGTGGTGCTTAAAGCGACGTTAAAAAAGCACCGTCGTAAACTATTTCCTTCAGTGCTTTCATGTCAAGTGACGACCTCACGCGCATCATGATCGCCGACAACGACAAACGGTGTCTCACTAAATTCTGCGACTTATTAGCACTTCCAGGCACCATCTCTGACAGCGAGTGACTTCATGAGTGAAGATGACATAGCTGTTTGTGAGTGCATTGATGCCGGCCGCAGACGTGCACCCATGCGGCTATGAATATGCCAAAGCATTTGCTGCCGCTGCTAACCAACCCTTTGCCACGCTACAGAGCTTGCTTCAGCATTCTGCGACAGTTGTGGCTGAAGAAGCTGAATTCGTTTATTTGGAAGGCATCAATGATATTGACGATGATTGGAACTTGACAGCAACAAAAGTTTAGGAACTATTTTCATTGGAGTTAAGTGCAGCAACTTACTAAGAAGGAATTAACACCCTATTACATTGTGAGTGAATCATTACACGAGTGCTTATTAATGTTTCCATAAATTGATTCAAGGCCGTAAAAGCTTTAACTTAAGCCTTAAGTACGCATATTTTATATTCGAAATTATTGATATATCAAACTATTTTGCGTTACCCTTCAAGTTCGACATATCGGGCATCAACTGTATTAGTTTTTTCGTCAGGCTTTGCCACATTGTAGCTCTGCCTGCAAACTTGTTACACAACTGTTTACTGGTTTTTGGATTGGTGGTTGTACTACAGTGCGTAGAATATACTTACTAGTGTGCAGACCACCGAGCGTTTCCAATGGGAAACGCTAGCACTGCCGATGATGCCTTCCCCCGGAGGCCACCATACGGCGGCACCCTTAGGGACCGTGGTATCTGAGCGGCGGGGCGCACCGAGATAGCGTGTCGCACGCGCGTTTTATGAGTGTCGCTTGCAGTTTATGCAATTTGGATGCGCGTTCGTTAACCCAGTCGGTTGCGGTGCAGTTGAGGGGCATTTCTGCTGTTGCGCACATAGCGCATGCCTCCGCATGTTTTTGCCGTGTTTCTTTTCTGTGCGCGTTGGTCACTTTTGTGTCTCTTCACGAAACCGAAATGTCGTTGCAGAAAAGAAGGCGCAAAAAGAGCGCCAGTTTCCTTTTCTTTTTTTTTTCTTTTTTTCATATTGTGTGAGGGGATACTGCTCTACCAACGAGTGCATCTTATTATTCAGTGGCCCTGTAGACCCAGAACGCTGAGCCGAGTAGGATAAAAACAAAGCGAAAGGATCTAAAACTAACTGCGACGGCTGTCATTAGCGAGAGACATTTTAGTGATTGCTGCATTTAGCGCTCCTTCAAAATAAGTCGATGGTGTCATTAGTGCGATTCTCCGTGAAAAACTCAAATTAAAATTTGTATCCTTCATTATATTTGCAACTCTCAATTTCTTTTCACAGCCAAGATGATTTTTCGCTTAAACCGGCATCGCCGACACTGGCATTTCTACGAAATGAGCTCTTTAATGCTGTTGTGTTAATATTCATTATTTTTTCTTGCACCACTCGACAATGTTCACATCGGTACCGGGTGCTTCAATAAATGTGTCCAAAATCCTCAGAAACGTAAAAAAGTCTATATTTGCTGTAGCACTCGCACCATATTATTTATGAAATTAAACTATTTACATTTAATACGTTCAGCTAGCGTCAACGTCATTGGAGAATTGAAGTTCATGTGAGGAACTCATCCTACCTTAAAGCTATAGAAAAATTGACTTACAATAAGTAAATGTTGTGGCATCATAAATAACCAAATGCCGCGTGTTTCACTGTTGAGTTTTGTCGAACTTCATTAAAGTTGACTTTTTCCTTCGGAAACCACGCATATTCATTTATTTATTGGTAATTTTTTATCAAACACTCGATATCGTGTACCGTATTAATGATAAAGGGGTGTACGTACATTTGTAAAAGTGCAATGAAAAAATATACCTTTGATTACACATCGCGTCCCAACCAGCGTTCTACAGTTCTAAGTGGGCTAGGAGAGCCCATCGGCGCTTGTCGCACGTGCTCGTTGCCAGAGAGACAGCCGCGGCCGTGGTAGAGACACCGCCGATACCCCTATGCTCAGGCTCTGGCTCGAGCCGCTCGGCCATTGGCTCGGCATAGCAAGGTCCCTGCAGCTATCGCCGTCTGGTGGCCGCCGATGGAAGGCATCATTCTCCGTGCCACCACGACGGTCGCGGTCGGCACACCAGTAAGTATATTCTAGGCACTATAGTTGTACATTCACAAAAAGCTGCATAAGCAGCACGAAAGGAAAGTGCTGCGAGTGAAAAATGCGGCGTAAGTGACCTAGGTCATGAAGTTGCCAAAGATTACTCATGCATGCTTCAATAATATTTGAACACTATGCATATCGTGTCGACTAAGCATGCACGTTTGCTCAGCTGAGAAATAAAATTTATACCATTTGTTGTGATAAAGAAACAGTGACGAGGACGACGACAGCGAAGATAACGTTGAAACAGTGGGCACAAACTAATGAGAAAAGTTGGTATTGTGGGGTCTCGGAATGAAGCACATGCTCTTGGAGCGAATGGACACACCAGATGCTGTCGAACCAAACCAAAAAATACACTTATTGAACTAGTTTTACATCGAGGATATCGTCAGCCAAATCAAATACATCACTAGTGAACAACACGCTAAAACACAACCTTATACAATATTCCAATGCACTCAATCAACATAACTATAAACACAAGGTAATGCCAAAGCGGCATGTCGCTGATGTTCGACTCGCCACTAGGGACCCACGTGGTACAGCCCATGGTCGCCACACCCTGTGGGGCCCCGTTAGGAGACGACCATGCCAGCCGCCACGCACCTAAGAAACTAACTAATCTTTTCTGTTCGGCCACCTGGCCTCGCCACCAGGTGTCACAGCTGGCACTGCCGTGCTTACCATAATGATGATGATGGCGGTAGTGAAGATCTCGTGTGAGATTTTACTGTACTATTACTCACCTGCTGAATGCTTCTTTGTTGTGCGAAAGTTGGTACACCGGAATTTCGCTTCCCAAACCTTGTAGTTCTCCTCCCAGCCAGGACTTGAAGCCCCCTCGCTACGATCACCACTGTCACCAGCACTTCTGCACATCATAAAAGCCAAGCAGCCCAATCAATCAATAAGTGAACAAGCCAAACTCTGTCATGTAGCGTAACCCTGATATAAAGGACCTCAGTATCATTATATCCTATACATAATAATCTACTCAGCCTTTTGTAACACTATGTCCATAAAACAAGACTTATGTTTAATATTGACTGTTTCGTTACCACTCGAAAATGATCGTTTTTCATATGTCCTGGGAAGATAATTTTTGCCAGTTTGAAAAGTACTCCAGCAAGCATTGCAACATACCAAACTTTGCACAATAAAATGCTCTTTCCAAAAAATATATGTTGTAGATCAACAAAAATTTTAAAACAAATAAAAATGTGAAAAGTGTGTAATTTTTTGTTGCCAGCTAGTAAAAAGTGCAATAAAAACACTATACAGTTGCCAAAGAAGTTTTCAGACTCCAACAACTCGACTTGTTGGATACTTCGGACTTCACAAATGTAACGTCAAGGTTTCCATTGAACTCGTGAATTTTTGCGACCGCCTTTTCGGACAAATTCCTGTAACAAAGTTCGATTTTCTGGACTAAATCGGCCGTTTTAAGCTATGCCACTCGATTTTGAAAGCCACCATATTAGATTTTTTTGTTGAATTGGCAGAGTCTGGCTCGCAGTGACTAGTTGTGCGGCCTCCAAGATGGGAAGAGGGCATAATCTTCCAGTTTCGGAGGCCATGTCTGATCTTTCTTGGCTAGCGAGACTACGAAACTTTTCTTTTTCAGTGAGCCTCATCATCATCCTTAATACACCAGCAAAATGTTTTTATTTTCTGGGAATTTGTTTTTCTCGTCATTGCGCACGTGGTCGTGTTATTGGTGTGCCAAATGTGTATGAGCTCTCGTGTGCGTCGCATGCTCACTGCTGTTTGCGGTTGCTCAGTAGGACCATGGTCCTTCAATATTTTTCTGGTCATGAAACTCCCGCGTCACTCAATGGGAGAGCTTCATATACCGCCCGCACTTTCCGCGCCGCGGCGCTGGCGTAGCTAGACGGGGGACGAGGAAGCCGGCCCGGCCGGCTGCTCTGTTGGCCGCCATTAGCGGACTGTTGGCGCGGAGTTGTGGTGGTCGTGCTGATCGCCCCCCTTTTTAGCTTTTCGCGGTCGCATCGTGTTGACAGCGATGCCCAACACCTGCTGCGTGCCGGGCTGTCATTCTGGATACAAGGGCACCGTCGAAAAAGTTTCCCTGTTCTGTTTACCAGCCAACGCAGAACAACGCGTCAGGTGGAAACGTGCGATCCCGCGACAGGAGACTGCCGGATTTTCGTTCGAATCAAAGTACGCTCGCGTGTGTGAAAAACATTTCGACGCCAGTGACATTGTACGTGCGGACGTGTGCACTGTGAACGGAGACATCGTTTCGCTGCCCCGAGAACGACCGAGACTGGTGGAAGACGCCGTACCAAGGATTTTTGAAGGTTTGCCTTCCTACCTCTCGAAACCAAAGCAGCGTTCGCGTGCAACGAAGGGCCCACCTCTAAAAAGGCCGCGAGAGCTTTCTCCGGATTGTGATGCGACAGTCGCGAATGCAGACGTCTCCAGTGCAGCCGACAAAGAAATCGAAGGTAAGTCTGGCACAAAGTTTGCAAGTATCCTACCCGCTCACCACGCTAACAAAATTCGCTCACTACGCTAACCAAATTGGTTCCTTCCCTTATAAATATTGCCCTTTCTCACTCTTTGCAGATGTTGTGAGAACTGAGAATCGCAATGGCTACGCTGATGCAGAGTGTCAAACAGAGGTCACCGTTTGTTCAGCGTCGGAGCTACAGAGAGTGAAGGCCCAACTTCGCAGCGTGAAGCAACAGCTTCAGTCATGTCAGCGGAAACTCACAAAAGCGGAGGCGCACGCGAATAGAAAGAATGGAGTGTATGCAGATATTCACAAGCTTTCAGACCGCGAGAAGCTCATTATAGACCAGTGCATCATGAAAGCAAATATGAAGTCTGCGAAAGCAGCACGGTAAGATCCGGTTTGTAAAGTTTGTGTGTGTGTGCAATTTTATGTGAAGTGCGATGTTCGGTGCGCATTCGTTTGCTTTCTGGATATTGACAGAAACTACTAAGTGAAGCCGTGGGACAAAACGCAATATTTTGTTTTACTTTGATGGTGCTGTTTGCTTGAGCTGTAGCAGAATCGTGACCACAAAAATTGCATTTTATTTATTGCAGGTATAAAAAGGAATGGCTTTACGATTGTTTACTGCTGAAAATCAAATCCACAGCAGTTTATACATTTCTTCACGAGAATAATTTTCTGCCTCTACCACACCCTCGCACACTCTACTCCTATCTGAAAAATCTGAAGGCCGGCTTCGGATTTGATGAAATTTATTTGACATCCTCAAAGACAAAGTGGAAAAGATTCCAAAGAGAGAACGGCGAGGTTTTATCTTTTTTTTTCTTTTGCATTTGATTTTTCTGGACTCTAGGTAAAGAGCTGAAATATTTTTTTTTCTTTAGGTGTCCTCATGTTTGATGAGATGAGCGTGAGAAAGAGCCTTCACGTCAGGGAATCGGATATGGCACTGCTTGGAAAGGTGGACTTAGCAGAGCACACGAAGCCGACTGACCAAGTGAAAGATGGGGACCACGTGTTGGTGTTCCTTTTCCGACCATTCCTTGGTGGCTGGTCGCAGACTGTCGGAGCGTTTTGCACGTCCGGGGCTGCACCAGGATCCACTGTTGCCAAACTGATCCTGCAGTGCATTGTACTCCTATCGAATGCCGGCGTCATTGTGGAGGCAGTCACTTGCGATAACTCAACTTCGAACCGATCAGCACTGAACTCCTTGGGTAAATATTTGCAGTCATTATTTATTTTCAAGGTATTTAGTAAGTGATTTTAATAATAGAAATGCCTTTCTTTTAGGTGTCAGTGGTGATGTCACAAGAGTATCAACATCGTTTGAGCATCCATGTGACTCCTCCAAAGTCATTCAGGCTATAATTGACCCGCCGCACATCTTCAAGTGCATCAGGAATAACCTTTTGAAGGCCGGAAAGTTCCTGGTGCGTAAAACAGTTTAAGATAAGTCATCACAGTGCTCTGGCTAACTTTGTCTCACAGCCTTTTTATAAATGTAACAGTTGCCTGGTGACAAAGAAGTACAGCATTCCCACTTTGAAGCTCTGCTGGACTACGAGGAGCAGCAAGCTGGACTTCGGGCTGTGCCAAAGCTTACGAAAGCTCACATCAGCCCCAACGCTTTCCAAAAACTGAGTGTGAGACTTGCTGTCCAGGTAAGACATAACAGCTGCTCTAGCATGAGTCATTAATCAGTATGTGTAACAAAAAGTGGTGTTGCTTCATCAGAATACAACACTCTGCCATATAACTTCTCTAAAACATTTCAGCTCTTCAGTGAAAGCACTGCTTCAGCAATGGACTTCTATCGCAGTAGAGAAGAATGTGTGAAACTTCGTGGCTCCAAAGCAACTTCGGATTTTGCGAGGCGAATGAATAGTCTATTCGACTGCTTCAATTCTAAAAGGCCACAAGATGTGCAGTACAATGAAGCGGAACACATTTCTGTAAGCCCTAATATTTCAAACCTACTGTCACATCCTTTGAAGTTCCACTTAAATCAGATTGTTTTTCAGACGCTGAAGGAGAACATCGAATGGCTTGACAGGTGGCACACTTACAACCAGAGTTTACCAAAGCAAAAGCAACTCTTCTTTCTCAGCAAGCCAACATGCAATGCTTTGAGAATGACTTTGCACAGCACAGTGACGCTTGTTGAAAAGCTGCTGAATTGTGGCTTTCGCTATGTTTTAGTTGGCAACTTTGGACAAGACCACCTCGAGGTACATTTAAACGTTTTTGCTCGTTGAAGACGTTTTCTTCACACTTTATATTTTCAGAGATTTTTTGGCATCGCAAGACATGTCGCTGGAGCAGGGGGACAGCCAACTGTTCAGCAATTTTTGTTCATTTACCGGTTGCTCTCGGTGAACAACTTGATCCGTCCTCCACAGAGAGCCTCGGTTGAAGGGGATGGTCCGCGTCTCCTCTTGAAAATGCAGGATCTCTTTCAACATAAAGAGCCTACTGTTAATCAGGTAAACATTTGAATAGCACCCACCAATGCTGCTTGTAGGGTGTTTGTGCATCGTAAACGTGCTGAATGTCGTCTAGCTTTTTGATGCTAATGACATGCACGTCTGGTCGTATGATATAGAACAGACTTTTATTCTGCTTAAGTAAAGTGTGGGATTGGGCTAGTTGGTAATCCATATAAAACTTCTAGGCGCGTAAAACTTCAGACAACTAACATAAGAGACGAGGACGAGCGCAGACTTTCAACTGATTTATTACTACTACGACACACATATATATATTAGAAAGAAGATAAGATCACTTGCTTAAGCAAAAAAAAAAAAAAAAAAAATTTTTTTTTTTTTTTTTTTTTTTTGCTTAAGCGCCTAGAAGTTTCATTCTGCATTTTTATATTTTACTTTACAAATTTCTCATTCTGGCCATTGTGATAATGCAAAATATGTTTCAGATTGATACCTTGGCAGTTCTTTTTGACGATATACTGCTGGAGCCTGCTGAATGCATGCAAGACATGATTCATCCCGAGTCAACGAGGGACTGTATTTTGGATTACCTTGGTGGGTATGTAGCAAAAAAGTTTGCTAAAATAAGCTGCAAGGACTGCCTCCAAACACTCAGAAGCAACTCCCGAGAGCCAACTGCATTGACTCAAATCAAGACAAGAGGATTTTTGCAAGTGCCATCGGAGAAATTACTGCGGCTCTTGCAAATTGTGGAAGAACATGTGGAAATGTGCACGGTGGACAAAATAGCCTGTGCCAGTGTTTACATGAACATTGTTGAGAACATCCTGCTGGACGACCGCACTTCTTCGGCCAGTGTTGGCTGTGGCTCACATTTCGTGAGCACTACGGCAGAAGTTGTGCACTTTTTATTAAGTGCCGTCTGCATTTTTTTACGCGTGA